GCCACCATCTGCGATGCCAGCATCTCAGGAGGACTGGTTCACGTCCCAGCTGCTCCACTTCTGATCCAGCTTCTTGCAAGTGATCCTAGGAAAGCAGCAGAAAATGGCCCACATGTTTGGGCACCTGACACCCACATGGGAGACCCAGATGGAGGTCCAGGCTCTTGGCTTCAGCCTGGCCCAGACCCAGTCACTGCAGCCATTTGGGGAGTTGATCAGTGGATGAACGATCTCTGTTTCTCCTTCTGTCAGCACACTTTTAAGTAAAAACAACAAACCGAAGGAAGAAAGCTAAGTGCTAAAGGTGACAAAGGACACGTCCAAATCTGAAGCTCAGAAGAGGAACAGAGATCTGGAAACAACCGGAAATGAAAGAGAAAGTCACTTCAGAAAGGAACGCAGGTAACTTGAGAGACACAGAAGGAAGAAAACTTCAACTCAAATAAAGATAAAAATGATTCAGAAGAAATGGCAATGTTGCTGAAAATGATTCAAAAGAACCTTATACACGGATCTACATGTGAAGAGCTCCTAAAGAAGAAAACAGGAAGGCACAAGAGAAAGAACTGTAAAGGCTAAAGGAAATGTCTCCAAAGTTTAAGATCCATGTGAAGCCCTACAGTGAAAGAGGAAACCCCGCAGCGAGACAGGACCCACCCCCTCACCAACACCAAGAGCGAGTCGCCTGGAATCACCACCATTAAAGAAAAAGAAAGAATCCTTTTGACTTAGACCACAATGAACAGCTTTCAAGGCAAAGAAAACAAGATTATCGCCAGACTTTTCAACAGCAACACTATTCCACAAGAAAGCAAAATTAGGACATACGATTCTCGAGACAAAGATGTAACAAACACAAGACCCAGCAAAATGGACTCCGTAACAAGCACTGAGGAACCACTGTGCACACAGAGAAGCTCGGGCAAGCCCGTTGCCACGACCGTTCCCAGAAGAACCTCGTAGAGAAGGAGTTTCACACTCAGACAACTGGAATCGACACAGAAGCATTAAAGGAGTGGGTCTCTCTTCACGGCACATGTGCTTCCACAATACAGAAATAGCGCAACTATTTTAATACCAGGGGAGAAACAGGAAAAGCATACGCAAAAGTCTGTTGTTTTTTTAACCTACTCTCAATCATTACTCTGTGATGGTTGCATTAGTATTTTTTTTTAAAGCCTCAGTATGTAGTTTGGGACAAAATGAGTAATTCCAGGCTCCTCAAATCCTATCATTCTCTGTTTCCTGAAAAACAAGGACTCTGCTGCAGAGTAAGGAGGCCAGGGTAACACCGGACAGATGAAGTCACAAAGTATGCAATGCAGACCCAGCGAGACCCTTGGGGCCTGCATCTGAGTTTGCTATCTACCCAAGGGCATGGAAACAACAACCCGACACCAATGGGCACCCTCAGAACCCAGATCAGTCCACATCACGGGGAATGCTCACAGCCCAGGCCAACCCAACACCACCATGCACACTCACAGCCCAGATCAACCCAACACACGAGGTACTCTCACAGCCCAGGTCAACCCAGCACACAAGGCCACAGCACTAAGCACACTCACAGCCCAGGACAACCCAACACCACTGAGCACACTCACAGCCCAGGACAACCCAACACCACGAGGCACACTCACAGCCCTGGTCAACCACAGCACTAAGCACACTCACAGCCCAGACCAACCACAGCACTGAGCACACTCACAGCCCAGACCAACCACAGCACTGAGCACACTCACAGCCCAGGACAACCCAACACCACGAGGCACACTCACAGCCCTGGTCAACCACAGCACTAAGCACACTCACAGCCCAGACCAACCACAGCACTGAGCACATGCACAGCCCAGGACAACCCAACACCACCATGCACACTCACAGCCCAGATCAACCCAACACCAGGAGGCACACTCACAGCCCAGGTCAACCCAACACCACCATGCACACTCACAAACCAGATCAACCCAACACACGAGGCACACTCAGAGCCCAGGACAACCCAACACCACTGAGCACAATCACAGCCCAGGACAACCCACAACACGAGGCACACTCACAGCCCAAATCAACCACAACACTAAGCACACTCACAGCCCAGGACAACCACAACACTAAGCACACTCACAGCCCAGGACAACTACAGCACTAAGCACACGCACAGCCCAGACAAAGTCCCTGGAATATACTTCCTATTAAACACATGAGAGCTTCTCAGAAAAATGGTTAGTTCCAGGCTGGGGGTAGGGTGCTCACAGCTCTTGTCATTGGAGAGGGCACAGCAAACAGGAAGGGCTTCCCAATCCCCTCCAAAAGAACTCAGGACTACTGTCCGGGGCTGCGGTGGGACTGAAGGTTAATGGGCACAAGGCTTCTTTGTGGCCTGGCAGGAATGTTCTAAACTTAGACTGTGGTGGTGGTTGGGCAACCATATAAAAAATCCCCCAAAAAACACCAGTACACTGGATTGTATATTTTCAATGGTAAGTCTTACAGCATGTAAATTGCATCTCAATAAAGCTGTTATAAAAAGGAGAGGAAATGGGTGTTGTGTCACAGCAGGTAAACCAACACGTGAGACACCTGTATCCTACATGGGAGTGTCTGGGAGACAGTCCCACCTCGGCCTACAACCCAGCTTTCTGCTCATGCTCACCCTGGTGGGCAGCAGATGATGCTAAAGCACTTGAGTCCCTGCCACCACCCACGTGGAAGACCAGGGAAGAGCTCCTGGCTCCCGGCTTCAGCCTGGTCCGGGCCCAGTTATTGCAGGCATCTGGGGAGTAAACCAGCAGACAAAAGATTCTCTCTCTCCTCTTCCTCCTCCCACTCCTCCTCCTTCCCCTCCCACTCCTCCTCCTCCTTCCCCTCCCACTCCTTCTCTCTCCCTCCCCCCTTCAAATGAGACAGAGTGAAAAGACAGAGACTCACAAGAACTTAAAGAGTCACCGAATGCCCAACAGAAAAAACTATCCTTTAAAAGAGATCACGATTCAAAGAGAATAAAATCCATAAAACACAAGGGTACTTCAAAAAGTTTATGGAAAACAAAAGAAAAAGAAAATTTTGGTGCAAAGAGTTTTTGAAATCCACACAAATAAGGGGGCTTCAAAAAGCTCCTGGTGCAGGTGGGAGAGGGGAGGGGAGCACCTTCTCAACAGTTACGATATCTCTTGGGACGGCCACATCCTACATCAGAGTTGCTGGTTCTAGCCAGCTCTGCTTCCAATCCAGCTCCCTGCTAAAGCTCACCTTACGAGGCAGCAGAGGTCAGTTCAAGTACTTGGGTCCCTGCATCCACATCGAAGATCTGAAATGAGTTCCTGCCTTCGGCCTGACCTATCTCTGGTTGTTGCAGGTATTTGGGGAGTGAACCAGGGTATGGAAGAACTCTCTTTGTCTCTCCCGGCTTTTCAAATAAATGAGTGATTAAAAAAAAAGTAATTTCATGAAAATAAACAACTTACTAAATTTTAATTAGTACTGTAGCTTGAAGAAGGTGTCGAGGCTTAGTTCTGTGCTAAGAGAGACCAAAAAGTGTGCCTGAGCACCAAGGGCATGCAGGCCACGACAACACTTCCTTGGCAATCAGGTCTTCAAGGACAACCGAAAGAGAGACACTCGCTCAGGAGCTCCTGGGCTTAGCCACCCACCACCTAAAACCACGCCCTGCACCGTGTAGAGTCCCAGCTTCTGGGAACTCTGGGATTGAAAGGGCTACAGGGAGGAAAACACGAAGGCTCGCCTCTGCCAGGTCACCTGCAGATTTCCTCCAGGTGCTCAGCACTGCCCAAAGCTTAAAAGGCGTGCTCTTAAAGGAGAGTTGGGCAGAGGGGTGAGCGTGTGAGCACGGCTCCTCGGCCGGTTACCAGCACACACACTTGACCGCGCACTCCACGGGCGCCCTCAGAGCCAGCCCCTCACCTGCGCCTTCACGCCTAACCTGTTCACAGGTTCTCGAGTGACAAGAGGCCCTGGATCTCAAAGTGCTGCTCACGTGAATGAGCGCAATGCCCTCCCTCATTGCGGGCCCATCAACCCCTGCCTGCCTGACCGCAGAGCCCCATGGGGAGGGGTGGCTATCCGATTACGTAACAGGCCTGTAACAGAAGCTTGGCTGTGGGCAAAGACACCGACAGGCAGACAGCAAAACCAGGGTTCTCAGACATTTATCTAAAACACGTTTTAAAAAGTGGCCTGAAGCGCCTACAAATGGCCGCAAAGCGAGCCTCTCTTGGCTTCATCTTCTCCCCGCAGGTGATGAGCAAGAAGAGGGGCCGGGCCAGCCTCGTGTTTCTGCCTCACTGCTCAGAGGACACAGCCACGCTAGCCCAGGAAGACAAGCCCCCACCCCACCCCGCAGCTCGGGCAGGAGAGAGGAGGGGACTCGCAGATCTTTAACACCTGTGTCTCCGGGAATGCCAGTCTGGTTTCTTCCCAGCCTCCTGCCTGTCCCGCACTCCCTCCTCTCTGGTCACTGAGCCCTCAAGCTCCCAGCTCACCCTCACACCTCCACTGCTCCCAGGTTTTCATGACACTGAACCCAGCAAATACACAGATCTGCCCACCCAGGCGCTTAGGGAACTGCACTCCCAGACCTCCTCGGCCAGGGCCAAGGGCAGACCCAGCACACTCCCCACTGCCGCGCCCAGCAGGGACCCCTCCATGATCATTCCTCTGGTCCCGTGAACACAGCAGCTCCGAGACCAAGACTTGAAGAAGAGAACTGAAACCGCTGTCATCAGCCCCTCCACTCCAGAAACAGCCAGACGCGAAAGACAGGCTCAGGTGAGCTCCACGTGGCATCGCGGGACACGACAGAGTCGAGGCAAATCCAGCGCTCCCTTGGATGCCCTCTGCCTCGAGGTAAGGTGACTGAGCCCACGGCCGGGAACACAGGCAAATCTACCATGGAGGACGGCACGGTGCTGGGGGCGGGGGCCCTCCCATGGGGTTTCTCAACCAGCCCGTCTCGGGGAGCCCGCTGGAACGTTACTTACTGCCTGCTGGATGTCAGTCTTCACCCGCTCACTCAGCATGCCTTCGAAGACGAAGGAGTCGCCGAACGTCTCAGCCTAGAGGAAGGTAGAAGACAAAATCTGGAAGAGGCTGTGGTCCCGCGTTCCCCAGGGCCATTCCCGTCTCACGGCACTGGGGTGACTCTGCCTGCCCAAACGACTGCCAGACGACTCGCGAGAGCATCTGGCCAGCGTCACTTACAGGACACTTGTCATTCAAGACCTGGTAGGCTGGAGGGATTACTGCTCCTGCTGACGGAAACACACTGCCCGTGTTACAGGTGGCTTCAGAAATGTGCATCCCCAGGACCCGTGCAATCACACTTGAGCTTTGCCCCCCATCCCACCCCTGGAATCATGACGTGAGAAGGCAAGGGCGCCGCCTGCTGCTCTCCTGACACACCTGAGTGCCACGTGGGTGTCAGCCATGCTTGTGAACCTCAAGCAGCCAATCTGGACAGAACAACTCCAACCGACACTGAAATCTCCTCCCCGCAGCTCCCTGGCTCTCTGTGCTGGAAATGGAGAGTTTTGTTTTTTTTTGTTTTTTTTTGTTTGTTTGTTTGTTTTGACAGGCAGAGTGGACAGTGAGAGAGAGAGACAGAGAGAAAGGTCTTCCTTTTGCCGTTGGTTCACCCTCCAATGGCCACCGTGGCTGGTGCGCTGTGGCCGGCGCACCGCGATGATCCGAAGCCAGGAGCCAGGTGCTTATCCTGGTCTCCCTTGCGGGTGCAGGGCCCAAGCACTTGGGCCATCCTCCACTGCACTCCCTGGCCACAGCAGAGAGCTGGCCTGGAAGAGGGGCAACCGGGACAGAATCCGGCGCCCCGACTGGGACTAGAACCAGGTGTGCCAGTGCCACAGGAGGAAGATTAGCCTAGTGAGCCACAGCGGCGGCTGGAAATGGAGAGCTTTCTCCTTCGGCTTCCGCAACTCTGCTTCCCTGGTTGCTTCTACTTTCTAGTCTTGAGCTCTGCCCTGGGCTCCCTGTGCCTCTCCCAATGCCGGCAGCTCTCAGACTGTGTGCAGCTGAGATCAGCCACACGGCTCTGACAAAAGCACACAGCTGTCCTGCAACCCAGCAGATCCTGATTCTGGGGGAGCCTGGGCTGAGGCCGAGGAATCTGCGTGTGGACACTGCTGCTGGCGGCTCAAGTGAGGGGACTTGAGGTACAGCGGGTGACCACCGCAGAGCCTGCTCTGGCTCAGGGCTGCAACCACGGCAGTCTAGGAACACGCTCTGATCTCCACCTCTGGTCCTGTCCCGTCTGCACCACAGGGAGCACCGTGTGGACCTAGAGCTGCCGCTCCCACGGGAGCTCATCACCTGTGCTTCACCAGGAGCTGTCTCCTGGATTCCCTCCGACACCAACACATGAGTAACACATCATGGATTCCTTCTACAAACACGTACTGAACACCTACCACGTGCCTGGTACGGGCTAGATGAGCGGGCACCAGGTCAGTACCCAACAGGCGTGGCCCCTGTCCTACCTGTGCTTGAGTGTGGCGCACAGGCAAAAGTCAAGAGAAAGAAAATGACTACAGTTTCACCTTGCCAGGCAGAAGTGTCGAGGACAGTCTCCTTGAGACACTGACACCTAAGCTGGTGCGGCGCAAGAACAAGGAGGAGCCACACAAGAAAGTGGGGAGGGGCTGTGGAGCCAGCCGGGGGGTAGGCTGAGCTCTAACACTGGCAAACCATGACAAGTTCTCAAGGGACAGGAATCAGCCGGCGCCACAGCTCACTAGGCTAATCCTCTGCCTGCGGTGCCAGCACCCTGGGTACTAGCCCTGGTCGGGGCGCCGGATTCTGTCCCAGTTTCTCTTCTTCCAGTCCAGCTCTCTGCTGTGGCCCGGAAAGGCAGTGGAGGATGGCCCAAGTGCTTGGGCCCTGCACCCGCATAGGAGACCAGGAGAAGCACCTGGCTCCTGGCTTCGGATAGGCATAGTTCCGGCCGTAGCGGCCATTTAGGGGGTGAACCAACATAAGGAAGACCTTTCTCTTTCTCTCTCTCTCTCTCTCTCTCACTGTCTAACTCTGCCTGTCAAAAAAAAAAAAAAAAAAAAAAAAAAAACAAGGGGAGGGGGGGACAGGAACAAGACCAGGGGCTGCAGTGCAGTGAGCAAGGGTGTGTGTGTCAAATGAACACAGAGAGATGGGAAAATTCTGGAAAGTGCCCTCTATCACAACAAGAAATGTTTGGCTCAAGGCAGGGGTTCTGGCCCTTCCTGTGCCCGACACCCCTCTGGCAGGACCAGGAAGCTTCTGGACTTTCTTCTAGAACGAAATGCTTAAACGCACAAAACCAAACCCAAAGAACTGCTAAGAAAACTAGGTGGACTGAAATACCAGTAAAATAACTAAGCTACAGTAGCATACGCACTATTTATTAAGGTCTCTCACTGATCATGCATCAAAGTGGTGATAAATGCAAACTATATTCCAGCACGTGTTATGGCAACTATGCAATGAAAGATGTCCACAGTTTCTGGTGGTGACAAAGTGACGGGCACTGCTGCTACCACTGCGGTTTGCTGTCTGCATCATAACTGAGGAAATGCTAAATTCTACCTAGAGGACAGCAAATATCCAGACTAATTCTCATCCATGTTCCCGGACACCGTGAAGCCAATTATTCCGCCCAATGTTCATGGAAAACCCAGGTCCAGGCAAGGCCTTCCTCCCAGATCAGTCTTGGAGCTCAGTGGACCACGAAGGAGCTCAGCCTGAGAGTATCCTCACAGAACAAAAAGAGCTACAAATCTGCATTAAAAAAATCTAAACCATGTAAATCCCAGAGAAATATGACAATGCAAAACCAAACCTGAATGCTATTCTGCTTTCGGCATTCACTCTCAAATTGCTTTTTTAATTAAAAAAAAAAAGATGTCAGTGGCCTAAAAACATAGAACAGGGACTCCACAAACTAAACACAAGGTAAGGACTCTCAGTGGGAGGAAACTGGAAGTATTTAAAAGACCAGTGTGGATCAGACACTCACAGGAACACTAGAAAGCCTTCTGCTCCTCACGCGGTGAGGACAAACATCAGAACCCTGCCTTGGGACCTAGGGATGGCAGGACAAGGCCTGGAAGCAGCACGGGACAGAGTGGGCGTGGGCATGGAGGCCATGGGATAAAGCTGTAGACGAAAGGCTGTGTTCCAGATCTGTCACTTACGAGCACACTGCCACTATCTGAGAAAGCAGAATGGCCTCACTTTCCATGCCATCGGGTGTCCCGGGACCCTGAGTGGTCAGTGACACTCGCCCACATACGAAGGTATCACAATAAGCAGAAGGGCTCAGCACACACGTTCTGAGGTCACTCCCGGGCCTGAATCCCAGCTGGAACACAAACTGGCCATGCAGGTGCAGGCAAACCACTCTTCTAATCTTCAGTTTGTCACTGGGAAAATGTCCACTTGTGGGGTGACTGTGAGGGGTTAAGTGAAACAGCCATCACTCGCTAGCCAAGGACCCAGGCTCCAGGGCTGCCCATGGACACCAGGATCCAAGGAAACACAAGCCCTTACATAAGATGATATAGTGTTTGTGCAGAACCTACTCCTGTTACCTATAATCCCTAACAAAACAGAAATGCCAGTGAACAGTGGCTGCGTTGCATTGTTTAGGGACCAGTGACCAGGAAAACAGTACTCAGTACAGACACGACCTTTGTGCAACGTCTCCCATCTGTGATGGGCTCAGTTTGCAGATATGGATCCCACTGAAAGGAAAGACTGACTGCATACAAAGAAGCTTTCTAAAGCCCACAGCAGCAATGCATGCGAGAATTTTCCATAATTTTTTTTTCACTTTCTTAAACAGACACATAAAAACTATACATATTTGTGTGATATTTCAATACAAGTATACATTGTGAAATGCCCAATTAGGGTAAACATAACTCTCTGCTCAAAGATTTAAAGTCTCTCTGGTAGAAACATTAAAACTTGTATCTCCAGTTGTTTCATGGAGAAATGCAGGGGACACAGACGTTATCTACAGTCACCTGCTGTGTCAGAGCCCAGAACTGCTACCTCTCCCACAGCCACAACTCAGTGTTCATCCATCAACCTTGCCCCAGCCTCTGGGAACCAACACGCACTTCCAGCCTGTAGGAGGTCCCGTTTCCAGGCTCCCCGTGAACTTCCTGAAGCCCCCTTGTACTGAGCACAGAGCTAGGCACAGGGAGAGACTGGCCAGCGCTAGCTGTGATCACAGCATTCCAAGAAGCTCTGGAAAAACCCGAGTTCTCCTCCCACCCCGAGCCCCATTACCTCTGTCAAATAGCCAGTTGAGTTCACAAACTTCTCAAAATCAGCGTTACTGACTTCATAGGCATCCATGTAAAAGGCGTCGATAGTCACTCTCCTGGCTGGTGCTTCCCCATCCTGCTTTATCTGAGGATCGTCCGTGCCCATGGTAAACACCCCGGCGGGGATGAGGACCATCTGCAGCGAAAGCAGAAACACAGGGAGTCACACGTCACACGTGTCAGGTTCCCAGCACAAGACCAGTCAACCCTGACCACGAAATTGCTGCACCACCAGTGAAATCCCTCGACCCCTCAGTGAAGGTGTCACTAGTCACAAGAAGAAGCAAAGAAGTCCTCAAAAAAGAAACCTCTCCAGACAAAACCTCTCCAGGCAAAATCCCATGTTACAAATTCATGCACGTGACAGGGACAGTCCTGGAATCAGACACGCAGGCTGCTCATACATGGAACACAGGGCAGGGAGACTGTCCCACTTTTTTCTTTTTATATTTGTTACACTTTTTAATTTATTAGGCCCTTGGGGTTTTCTGTTTTTAAGATTTATTTATTTATTTATTTGAAAGGCAGATTCACAGAGACAGAGGAAGAGACAGAGATCTTCCATCCGCTGGTTCACTCCCCAGATGGTGGCAATGGCCAGGGCTGGGCCGGCTGAAGCCAGGAGCCAAGAGCTTCATCCAGGTCTCCCTCGTGGATATAGGAGCCCAAGCACTTGGGCCATCTTCTGCTTCTTTCCCACACCACGAGCAGGGAGCTGGATCAGAAGTGGAAGAGTCAGGACATGAACTGGCACCCATATGGGATGCCAGCTCCACAGGCAGCAGCTTTACCCGCTGCACCCCAAAATCCACCCGTTTTGTTTTTTAAATTACTTTTAGGGGCCAGCGCACCAGGTTAATCCTCCGCCTGCGGCGCCGGCATCCCATATGGGCACCGGTTCTAGTCCTGGTTGCTCCTCTTCCAGTCCAGCTCTCTGCTGTGGCCGGGGAAAGCAGTGGAGGATGGCCCAAGTGCTTGGGCCCTGCACCCACGTGGGAGACCAGGAACAAGTGCCTGGCTCCTGGCTTCAGATTGGCGTAGCTCCAGCTGCTGCAGCCATCTGGGGAGTGAACCAACGGAAGGAAGACCTTTCTCTCTGTCTCTCTCTCTCTCTCTCACTGTCTGTAACTCTACCTGTCAAATAAATAAATAAAATCTTTTAAAAAATTACTTTCAAAAGTTAAAAAAATTCCACAAAAATACGCTCAAAAACCACTGTGTGAATTCTGGAAAAGACTGACGTCACTGAAATGGAAGCCCTGGGAAGCTTACTGAGGATCCGTGTGAGACACAGTTCTTTATTAAAGCCTTTATTACAGTGGAATGCAACCGATCCACCTTCACATGAACTCGGGCTCCAAGAGGGCGGGGACTCGGGGCAGGCGCCTGCAACACCAGCGTCCCACATGGGCACCAGTACATGTCCCGGCTCTTCCACTTCCGATCCAGCTCCCTGCTCGTGGCCTGGGAGAAGCAGTGGAGATGGCCCAAGTGCTAGGGAGCCTGCTACCCACGTGGGAGAACCAGAAGAAGCTCCTGGCTCTTGGCTTCAGCCTGGCCCAGCACTGGCCTTTGCTGCCATCTGGGGAGTGAACCAACAGATGGACAATTTCTGTCTCTGTCTCCCCTCTCTCTCTCTCTGTAGCCCTTTCCAAATAAATAAATCTTAAAAAAATAAAATAAAAAAGAGGGCGGGGACTGTGGCTGCCTTGCTCACCACTCAATTCCCAGCAGTGAGCACAGGGGTGTGAGGATTGCACTGAAAATGCTCGCTAAAGACAACAGGCATGGGGCCAGTTCTGCGGTGCAGCAGGTTAAAGCCCTGGCCTGAAGCGCCGGATCCCATATGGGTGCCAGTTCGAGTCCTGGCTACTCCTCTTCTGATCCAGCTCTCTGCTATGGCCTGGGATAGCAGTAGAAGATGGCCCAAGTGCTTGGGACCCTGCACCCACATGGGAGACCTGGAAGAAGCTCCTGGCTCCTGGCTTCAGATTGGCACAGCTCCAGATGTTGTGGCCATCTGGGGAGTGAACCAGCAGATGGAAGACCTCTCTCTCTGTGTCTCTACCTCTCTGTAACTCTGTCTTTCAAATAAATAAAATAAATCTTAAAAAAAGACCACAGGGCAAGCTCAGCATCATGAGTCCTTACAGAAATGCACACACAATGAGAGTGAGCCCACCTGATATCCACTACCACAGCTATAACCCCAAAAAGAAGCAAGGGCTGATGGGGAAATGTGAACACGGAACCCTCACAGATGTACAACAGCACAACCACCATGGAAAACAGTCACACAGCTCCCCCCGGAAACAGAGCACACAGCTACCACGTGAGCCTGTACTCCTAGGTGTATACCCAAGGGAAACAAACTCGGTTCACACAAAGCTCACAGAAGCATTCCTCACTACAGGCAAACAGAAACAACCCAAGTGGCCATCGGCTAATAGAATCAGAACAGAACGTAGTACCCCCTTCAAATACAGTAGCAGCCATAAAATGGAATGAAACACCGAGCCACACTACGCTGTGGAGGAGCCTCTAAAGTCTTGCACTCATTCAAAAAACCCAGTCACAACAGGCACATAGTATATGAGTGCATTCACACAAGATAAGAATCACAAAGTCCAAAGAGAAACAAAGTGGCTGAGCGGCAGTGGGATACAGGCTCAGACGCTTTCTGTGAGGATGAGATGTAGAAATAGACTGCAGTGATGGTTAGGACCACACTAAAAGCCACGGAACCGTATGCACGCATGAAAGGAGAACTGTATGGTGCATGAATTTCGCCTCAACCCTTGCGCTCTAAGCCGCACTGCCTCTTCAGGCTGATTCTCTGACTTCATTTTCTCTACGCGACTTGAAGCCTTGTTTATACATCAGAGGCTTGACACTTTCTAGCTCCTGAGAAATCTAATTGATTTTTCACTTAAACGATTTGAAAGCAAGACACTGTGTCTGCAGAGAATGTATTTCTGACAGCTGGTTAGAGACACAAGACAGCTGGTTAGAGACACAATCCTGAAAGAAACAGCAATCAGGAAACAGGAGTTACCGCTTCTACTTTGTATCTCCACTGACCCTCTGTGCTAGTGCAAGCTTCCATGCCATGTGTTTCTGCCTAAAAGTGCTACTACTTTCATCCATGATGTGGGAATAATAAAGGGTGATTTTCCTAAGGGATGACCACTGCTCCCAACCATTATCCTGGACTGCTCGTCCCTGACCCCAGCCTCGCCTGGCTGGATCTCTCCGATCGTCCCCTGCTGCTACTCCCAGGTAACTGCAGCAGCATCACCCAAGGTCTTGCTGTCCCCAGCCTCACCCTCCCACAGCTCTCCTGGCTCCTAAGCCACCTACCTTCCCCGAGTCACTCGCACAACCCACAGTGAGCCCCTCCCAAGCCTTCTAAAAACACTACTCCCCTGGCTCCAGGGCAATTGCGGCTCTGAAAAGCTCCACTGCTCGTGGACAGGTTACGAAGGTTGTGGGCCAACCATACATTAAAATTAAGCAGCCATGGCCGGCACCGCGGCTCACTAGGCTAATCCTCCGCCTGCAGCGCTGGCACCCTGGGTTTTAGTCCTGGTTGGGGTGCCGGATTCTGTCCCGGTTGCCCCTCTTCCAGGCCAGCTCTCTGCTGTGGTCCGGGAGTGCGATGGCCCAGGTCCTTAGGCCCTGCACCCCATGGGAGACCAGGAGGAAGCACCTGGCTCCTGCCTTTGGATCAGTGTGGTGCGCCGGCCGTAGCGGCCATTTGGGAAAAAGGAAGACCTTTCTCTTTCTCTCTCTCTCTCACTGTCTAACTCTGCCAGTCAAAAATAAATAAATAAATAAGCAGTCATAAGAAGACAATAGAAGAGGAACAAGAGGACGCTTTTAGAGCGTCACCCTGCAGAGACGGCAGCAACATGCAGAGCTGAGAAGCAACGACCTCAGCAGTGCCTGGGGGGCCGCTCTCAGGGGCAAAGGAGAAGAGCTTTGTGTTTCCGCACAGGCAGACGTCCCTTCTCGGACGGACGAGAAACACGGGCAGCAGTGTTCTGAGGGAAGGACAGGAAGCGAGATTTCCCACCACACACCCTTCTATATACGCTTAGTTTTTTGAAACATATAAACGTACCAATTACTAAAAAATAAGATGTCAATCTGATGACACCATTTTCTTACTCAAATTCTTTAGGGATTCCTGTCACCTTTCAGGGCAAGACAGCTAAACCTCAGAACCTAACCTCTCCCCATCTCTGACCCTGTATTTTACCTGCGTGTCCAGGAGCCGCCGCGTCTCTCTGTAAACAATGTCACTGTTGCAGTACCACCATCTCTAGGAAGCCCTTCCTGCCTGCACAGCTCACATGGCCACCCCTGATGCACGCCTCTGTCCATGATGACGGACACACAAGGCATCTGCTTCCCTAGATCCAAATTCCCCTGGGGACCAGAAATACACTCTTCATTTCTGCCTCCCCAGCAACCACACAGTGCACTGCCCACAGTCAACACTCAAAAAATCTTTACCAACTGAACGAGTAAGACTGACTACAAGGAGGAATCCATCATCTGAATTACTCATAAATTCTAACTCATTTATAACCCAGTCCCAGACGCAGACAGCGTGTCTGCCTTCGATGAGCCCTGCTGCAGCTCCCGCTCCAGGCACACAGCTGCCGGCCGTGTTATCTCCACCATCCTGCAGGCGTGTGGACCCCAGATGCCCCAGTCCCGGCTCTCAGAATTTTAAGCAGCTCAGGGCCAGGGCTGTGGTGCAGCAGATGGAGCCATCACCTGGGACGCTGGTATTTCATGTCGGGCACCACCTGAGCACTGGCTCCTGTTTCCAGCCCTCCTTCCTGCTAATGTGCCTGGTAAGGCAGAGGAAGGTGACCCAAGTGGCTGGGCCCTGCACCCACTCAGGAGCCCAGACAGAATTTCCTGGCTCCTGGCTTAGCTGTGGCCCAGACCTGTCTGTTGTGGTCACTGGGAGAGCGAACCAACAGATGGAAATGCTCTCTTTCGCTCTCCCTCTGTTACTTTGCTTTTCAAACAAATAAACCTTGTTTTTTAAAAAAAGGAATGGGGGGGGCAGCACTGTGCCATAGCAGGTAAAGCTGCCGCCTGCAACACCAGCATCCCACA